CAAAGCAGAAAGCCAAAAAGGAAAAGAAAAAGAAAATATCAGCTAAAAGAAAGCGTGAGGAGGTAAACTGTTCTATTAAACTGCATACTGTTAAAACTGTAGGGCTGCATGCGTTCAGAAGGCAAAAAGCAATGGGATTTTGTTTTGACAGGAGTTTTTGACTATCGACTTTCTAGGAGCCCTGTAGGCAAGACCTAAGAAGTTTTAAAGATTTTTTTTTTAAAGCTGAGTCCTAAAGAGAAGTACTTGGAACTTTGATGGTAGTGAATGCTGTGAGTACGTGCATGTGTTTCACTTCTCAGAGGTCTAGGATCCAGGGATTACGGTGGAGAGGAATGATGGTACTTAAGTTTTTAAATTCTTTTAATTTACAGTGAGTATAGCAGAATTAAAGTCTCCTGCATGGGAGCTGGGTACTACTTCCTGTATGGATACTCCTGGGAAAATGTGTTGTAAACATGTAAACATATTTTGGAGTGGGAGGAAGCACAATGTGTATTGTGCGAATTTAAACTCTGGCTTGTAGAATTCAACATAGGCAAAGAAGAATAATAGAAGAAAGACCTCAATGAGTATTTTACCTTTTGCTTTACAGTAGCATTAACTAATTCTCAAGCCACAGTGAAAGATTATGATGAACATCAGATAGCAACAGCTGACAACTAATGGAAGGATCTAGTACTAATCAAATAGGGAGGGCAATTCTTGGCTATTCAGCTCTGCTGTTTTGTTTAATTGCTGTTTTTCTACTGTTGACAGGGATCTGATATTGAAGATGAGGATATGGAGGAGCTCCTGAATGATACCAGACTCTTGAAAAGATTAAAAAAGGGCAAAATTAGTGAAGAAGAGTTTGAGAAGAGGCTAACAGGCAGCCAGGGTAAACTCAAAGCAGAAACTGTGTCTGACTTGGAGTCTAAAGACTGACAGTCTTTTTCTAAAGAGCCTCTTTAAAATACTGCCTATTTCAATAAAACTGTATTTTTATAACAAGATAGTGATGCAGAGAAGAAAACTGATCTAATTTCTTCCTAGAAGAGACCTTGCTTCTGTGAATACTTATGTACAAGTATAAACAAGCCTGCAATTAAGAACAAACCTGCAACTGCTGAACTTGCACAGTATGTGCAGATTTGCAATAGAAGGAGCTTTCTGCACTCCTGTTCAGGCAGGTATCATATCTGTCCCAGATCAGTAAGTGACAGCATACTTCAGAGTGAGTTTGAAAACACCATAAGGCATTTTATTTTACAATATCAAAACATTCCACCTGTCTTTAAATAATTTATTTTAGGCCTTCAGAAGCTGCAGCAACTCCTCTTTTGACAGTGGTCCACTCATACAATGTTTTGCCTTAAAAATTCAAGAAGGCTGGTAGTTAGGTCAAGTGTCTTCTCCTTATTATGGCCATGTAACTTGCATCATCTTTCAAGTTCTTACAGTTGTGATGGTCTTTGAGGAACGCAATGATTCACCCTGTGTGGATGACTGAGTCTCTTGTGTTACAGATAGAGTTTAATAAGTTCATCACTGACAGCTGATGGAGTCAATACCCCTAGGTCTGTAAACAGTAGTGTGATCAGCGACGGTGATGTATAGTCAATCCAGGGATGCTCTTCCGTTAGATTCTGAGTTGATTTCAGAGTATCTGCTTTATACTAGAAGGAAACAAAGCATTAGTTACTGCACATCTGCACATTAAAAACTTCGTAGGGGCAAAGGTAGTGCCCCTTGAACAGATACTTGGTATTGCTGAAGGAAGATGGTTCTTATAAAAAGAGGCACAGGCTGTTGCCATCTTGGCCTCAACTGTTATCTGAAAAAATAATTCATGTGCGTCTTAAGTGCGTAAGAAGTAATTTGAATTTATCTTACCTTAAATTTATCTGGGACATCCTGCTGATTTAGAGGGAAAAGTCTTACAAACTTGAAACTTTCTGCTACAACATAGAATGGCTTGTTCTGAGCTTTGGCACAAACAGCAATTTGATTAGTGCCGATCTGTAGAGACACATGGAGAACAACGTACAGACTCTCAGTGGTTGTGTGACAAATGTTGACATTATTTCCAAAAAGAAAGCGACTTTTCTTGAATAATGTCCAAACAAACTTAAAAAAAGCTTCCACGAAATCAAACTGTAAAGGCATACAGTTTACAGAATAATGTAATAAACTTGCTACCTATTACCTTGTTAATAATTCCTCCACTTTCAACTACACCTTCAGCTCCAACTAAGACCAGGTCCACTTTCTCCATAATGTAGCTGAGGGGTGGAAAAAAGCCATAATTCATTGAACATAACAGGAACTGGTAGCACAAACAATCATTTATTTTTCTGAAGTGCTCCAAGCTACCTATGCAAGTACACATGCTGTTACCTATCCAGCTTTCCTCTGCTTTTCCAAGCAGGAATATTAAATAACTATGTTTTCTCCAGTCCTACCTGATGTTGAAAAGGCTTGGAGAATCTAAATAGGGGTAAAGCTCAGCTACACAAAGTAGCTGAATATCGTGATTAAAATACTAATTGCACAGCAAAACTCAGAACTGTTGTAAATGTCTTGCCCAGAGACTTCTCTACCTTTTTACATCTATCTGACCTGTTGTGTTCATTGAAGCTACAGATCTAGAAAACAAACCACCAAGTAAACATTCTGAAGAAGGGAGATTTACTGTATTAGACAACACTTGCATATTTGCCCAGTCAGGCCACTGTATTCGCTGGATTACTGCCTTGCTAAACAGACTGACATGTATTTTGCACTCAACGTTAAGAACATTATTGTGATTTAGATTTATAATAGTTCTTTCTCTTATTTTGTATTGACTACTAGGCAGTGGTAATTTAGCAATTAACTTAAAAACCAACAGTGTGCAAATTTAAAAAAGAAAAAAATGTCTTTTTGTGTATCACCAGGGTTTTTTTCCATGCAACTCCAAATTCCATGCTTAGGCTTGACTTCATTCTAATATACAATTATTCCATAGATATACATACATTTTTAAGCCGGCATCTCCTAGTTGTGTACCAAAAGGTCTAACTTGTTTAGCTTGTTTGGTGACTGTTTCAGGAATGAGTAACAATCTCTGTGCTTTGAGCAAGCTTCTAGGATGCTCGTCTGTAATATTGTCAAATTGCAATGAGCAATGTTAGGATATAATGGTCATACTTACCCAACTGCAGCATCTAGAATCACAGTCACAGGAATGTTCAGCTTCCTCAGGGCTTCTGCCATTTTTTGCCTATGAAAATAGCATGTTTGAGGCTTAAAAGTCTGTCTTTAAAGACAATGCTAGAAAAATATTGTCTGAAGGACATGAAACAATGACTGCCCATGTTCCCTTGCCACTAGTTTTTGTTTTTGATGCTCCCCCTAAGGGTAAATATCTTCTTGTGTAGAAATGGAAACAAATTGCTATTGTATGTTTGCTTGTTTGGAATTATGTGACACTTTTAGTAATACAGTCACACATTACGAGCAAAAAAAGCAAGCTTTGCAACTTTCCTTAAGATATGACAGATTTGATGCTTGCTCATCTATAAAGCACAAAATTAACATGTACTTGCCCTGCTTGGTCTGGCTGTGATTCGGTGACGTAAATGCTGAATCGCTTCTTTGACTCCACAGCTGCTTCTAACACCCTGAGGACCACCCTCGAGTAGGCATGTGTCAATATTCGCTGTCAAAAAGAACAGGTATTACTTTTTATGATACTTTGTTATTGCAGTGTCATAGGTTTTACTTCACACCACTGTATATCCATTTTAAATAATACTGTATGTAATTTGTATTATACATATTATGGGAGAGCAAACCACTCCAAGATGGACTTCTACGTGGCAAGTTTTTACATAGCCCTGATAGAGCCAAAGGTGGGAACTCCATTTTCAATGGAAATTTCATGTGATGCATCAGCTGCTCCTAGAAGCAGGCTACAAGTTAATGCTGGTTTGCCTAGAAATGGGTGTAGATGGAAGAGTTTTAAGAAAATAAAGGACTGGGTGATGTGATGCCTGGGCATTTGCGAGAGCCATCACCGGGCACCGCTGTCGTAAACGGATGCTAATAAATGTCACTGGCTCCAGTTTGTCCATCGCTGGCGGCAGGAGCGTGGCCACCTGGGCTACTTACAGCACCGTCTCTGATGAAGGGATGGCAGAGCTTGGCGATCTTGTTCCGCGACAGCGAGACCTTCCTGAGGAAGATCTCCCCGCGCTCGATCATGATTTCTTTGCACTTGGAGTAGTCCTGGAAAGGGGAGTGAAGCCGGCGGTGAGGCCGGAGCGGGGACAGCCGGCTAGGGACGGGGGTGACAGGGCCCCCTTACCGAGTACTCCAGCGAGGTGAGGCTGATGAAGCGCAGGAAGAGCTCGCCACCGGACGACACGGCCACCGAGGAGTCCACGCGGGACAGCGTGTCGATGGCGCTGCGCAGGCTCTTGCGCAGGCCCTGGATGGTCTCGCCTGCGGCGGGAGGGGGACAGGGGGCGGCGGGTCAGGGCGCGCGGGGCCCGGCCGCGCCGCGGGGAGCGCGGGGGGCCCGGCCGCGCCGCGGGGAGCGCGGGGGGCCCGGCCGCGCCGCGGGGAGCGCGGGGGGCCCGGCCGCGCCGCGGGGAGCGCGCGGGGCGGCGCCCACCTCGGTCCTGCTTGAGGAAGCCGAGCAGCACGCGGATGGCGACCACGGCCGACGCCACGTCGGGGTCGTCCCTCAGCTGCGCGCGGAAGGCCTCGATGAGCGCTGCAAGGCAACGGCGGCGGCGTCAGCCCCGCCGCGACCCCCGCGTCCCGCCCCCGCCCCCCGCGGCCGCCGTTACCCTCCGTGCCCATGGCGGCCGCCGCGCTCCGCTCCCCGCCGGCGCCCCGTGGCGTCACGCGGCGCGCCGTGGCGTCATCGCGGCGCGGCACCATGAGCGCGGGTGAGGCGGGCGCCATGGCGGCGGCCCCGGTCCCGGTCCCGGTCCCGGGGGGCCCCGCCGTGACGCGGCGCCGCGCTCTGTGTTTCAGAGGACGAGCTGAGCCTGCTGGTCATCATCGTGGACACCAACCCCATCTGGTGGGGCAAGAGGGCGCAGGGAGAGGCCGAGGTAGCGCGGCCGGCGGGCCCTGAGGCGGCGGCGCCCGCTCCTCACGGGAGCTCCCGCCTCAAACACTTGCGCTTCATCCGCTCTCCATTCTTCACCCCCTTTTTTTTCCCCTTTCTTTTCCCATTAGTTCACCCTGTCGAAGTGCCTCGACGCGGCGATGGTGCTGGGAAACTCGCACTTGTTCATGAGCCGCAACAACAGGCTGGCCGTCATCGCGAGCCACACGCAGGAGAGGTGCTGCCCGCCGGGAAGCGAGCCCCGTCCCGCGGCCCCGAGCCCGCCCCGGGCTGCAGAGCATCGTCGAAACCGAGCTTAGGATGTGTAGCTTAGCGTTCGCTTACAAATAGAGATGAACTGAGGATGAATGGGAAAGACATGACGTGGTTTTTATTGGATTTTTATTAAGCAGAAAATAAAATACATGTGTGATGTAATTTGAAGGTGGTGGTGGTGAGGAGATGTGCAGTAAGCGGGACAATGGAAGTGGGGAAGTTTTCCTGATTTGAGGGTTCCTCCTCCCTAGTTATTCATGAGTCTCAGAACTGAGTGAACTACCCCTCAGTACAGGCACGGGGGCTGTTTGACACCATGAACATTGTCACAAAACAGGCCTTGAAAGGAAGGGAGTCAACGCGGGCATTACTGTGTTTTGGTTTTGAAAATTGCCTGGCTTGCATAGTCTCAGGTATATAGAATTTTTGGGAGCTGTGCTTTCGAGTGTTGTTGTCCACAGCTGGTCAGTTATTTAGCTTTTTTTTTTATAAGCATACTCACAAAATAGTATTTTTCTTTTCTTTCAGTCGTTTCTTGTATCCCGGGAAGCGCTGGACTCGTGCAGATCTCCTCGGAGATGGTGCTGGTCTTCTGGAATCTAATTGCCCGGGCAGCAAAGATGGGAAATATGAATTGTTAACGGCAATAAATGATGCAATCACAGAGGAGGTTAAAGACCTCATGACAAAAAGTAAGGAAAAGTTGATTCTATGTTTAATGTTTAGAACTGCAAAACACTGAGGCTGTAAAGGAGCTGCTAGAATTTCCTTTGTCTAGGCCCTAATTTGGTCTTCTGAATTTTCCTAAGTTTAAAATAAATAGGAATGTTTTTGACAATTCTGGGGTCGTTGCAGTAGAACCATGTGCTAAAGACAGAACTCAAGCATAGTATTTAGTGTGGTCAGCTTCAGCACCTGATTTCATACATAAAATAACTTTGCATTTTTTTTATTATATTGCAGCTGAAATGAAGGGCCAGCAAACTGAAACTCTGTTGGCAGGATCACTTGCTAAAGCACTATGTTGTATCCTTTTAATGACTGAATTTTCAAAGCTTTTATCTCTTTTTTGAAAGACTGTTTCTTATAATATTGATTATACTTCGCTATAGGCTTCACAGTTACTATTCTGTAATAATATTCAAAGCAATAATTTCCCCTCTAAAATTATGACTTGTGTAATAACTAAATTGCACTCCCTAAAACGTGTGTTAGGTAAGGCAGTGAACACACACGCATGCTGTGTTTAAATCTGTTTTGTTAATTTTTGGAAATATTATGTCTGGTTCTTGGGCATTCTGAGAGTGATGATACCTTAACGCTAGCTAATGCAGATATTAACAAGATGAGCAAAGAGGTAATGAAAGGTAATACTTTTTTTTTTTTTTTTTTTCCTTACGCTGTGTAATTGCATAAATACTTGAATTAGAAGGTCAGGAAAAAAAATGAATGCGTATATATATGTGCATGCAAATACATGTGTATGTTTTGATACCTCCTTTCCCACATTACCAATTAGGGGTATACATTTTTCTGGATGTTTTTAATTGCCCAATTTGAGCGGGCTCTGTGTGATTTAGAAATAATGTTTATAATGATTACAAATTTTCCAAACAAAAACAACAGAGAGAGCTATTTAACCGTAGAAGAACTGTCAATTCTTTGCACAATTAAAACATCTTTGTAATTCTTGCAAACTTGAGTGCTGTGAGATTTAACAGTACAAATTGTTCTTGCGTATATTGTTCTTGTCCCCTTTTTTGCTGAAGCTTTAGAATCATAAGATACTTGTTTTGGAAGGGATATTAGATACTTCTCAAGTCTTTCTGCTACTCCTAATGCTACTGAAAATAAAAACCAGTGTCATACATCTATTTTAACTGAAGTATTAGATTCTGATACCTGATTATGAGTCAAGCTACAAGGGGTGGAAACAATGTGCTTATGCATTTCTCTTTCTTTCAATGTTTAGGCAATCAAGAAATTAGATCAAGAATTCTGGTAAGAATTTTTTGCATCAGTTTTGTTTGAGTTTTGAACTATAGCAATACTATGTAGGCTAACAAATTTGAATCGCTTTACTTAGGTCATAAAAGCTGCAGAAGACAGTGCACTGCAATATATGAATTTCATGAATGTGATCTTCGCAGCACAAAAACAGGTGAGGCTGGCATTTTGTATACCATCTGCTATACATTGTTTTCATTAATGTATAAGTGTAACAAATTTGTTCATGTCTCTTATGACTTCTTGAAGGTTATGAAATCTAACATGACCAGGGTGAAAGGGAAGCAAACAAACAAAAACTTAGTGTTTGAACATGAAACCTAGTAGACCTCTTAAAGATTTCTTTCGAAGTAACTTTTTCCATCCTTATAAATAATGTGTGATAGAACTTTATTGCCATGTATTAGAAAGTAGAGACTGGGTATTTGGATTCATGTGCTGCTCATGGAATAAAGCTTTTCTATGGCAGACCTACGGCCTTAATAATTTGGGCATGGAAAGATGGACTATATTTATAGCTACAACAAATCAAGACAGCTGGAGTTACACTCATTCTAATTGAATTTCTGCCTTTCATGGGTTTCACCTTTTTGGTTACAGAGCATTTTGATTGATGCCTGTGTCTTGGACTCTGATTCAGGACTTCTGCAACAGGTACGGACTTGCTATTCCTATTTGCTATTTACTGCAGTTCTTAGATATTTAATGACAGATGGTTCAACACGTATCAAGTTCTTTTTGTAGTCTAGTCTTGGGAGAGACTAGGGAGAAAGGGAGATATCGTCCATTTTAAAGGGAGATATCGTCCATTTTAAAGGGAGATATCGTCCATTTTAAAGGGAGATATCGTCCATTTTAAAGGGAGATATCGTCCATTTTAAAGGACAATATCTAGGTGTTCTTCTCTCTGCTTTCTAGGCTTGTGACATTACAGGTGGCATATACTTAAAAGTGCTCCACATGCCATCCCTTCTGCAGTATTTGCTGGTAAGTTATAGAATAATCACTTTGGTATTTATTCTTGTAGCAAATAGGAAATAATATTGATTACATTTCAAAGCAATACTCTACCAGTTTGTAAAATACTTTTCATTTGTACATATAGTGGGTATTTCTCCCTGATCAAGAGCAAAGAGCGCAACTTGTCCTTCCACCTCCAATACATGTTGACTATAGAGCTGCTTGTTTCTGTCATCGAAATCTCATTGAAATCGGATATGTCTGCTCTGTGTGCTTGTCCAGTAAGTTTATAAATATTAACAATAATATTTTATTTTACATTTTAAAGGAACTACTTTAGTGAAAGTAACTTTTTTATTTTAAATCTTTTTGCAGTATTTTGCAACTTCAGTCCTATTTGTAGTACATGCGAGTAAGTGTTTCTTCTTGTTTAAGGGGTGGTTTTGGAAATATCTTGAGTGTATCTAACAATTGTCTTTTGATGTTCTTTCAGGACTGCTTTCAAAATATCATTGCCGCCTGTCATGAAAGCTAAGAAGAAGAAATTAAAGTTAGCTGTGTAACATCATTATGTGAACACGTGATTACCTCCTGCAGTAATTCCATGCAATGGAATATACCTAACAGATTGATGGCACTTTTTATTGAGTATGAAAGAGAACTGTACAGTGTTATTGTTTGTTTCTTAGGGACAAATATTTAAATCATGTATTTCCTACATAGCCCTCTTAAGTAAGAAATCACTGTGTTAACATGTATACTGTGCTTAGTTGTAAATAGGAAACAGAAGATGCAGCTTGTTTAAGATCCATAACCTTGTGTAGTAAAAGGTCACTGCAGTTTTTCATGTTTCTGGGTTAGTTTCAGAAACGAGAAGCTCTGACTACAATTGTATGTTTATATAAAGGTAAGCGTGACCGTTCCTGGAGGATAGGATCAAAGCCTTAGCGTTATATTCAGGGACTTCAGCTTTCTGCTGGGTTTTGCTGCCAGATTTGAGGACTGGAATAGGATCATTTTCAAAATAAATGAGCAAGAAATTTCAAGATGATTTAGAACCCACTTTCTTTTTGAAAGATGTTAATTTGATTCTCTTATATGCACACGTCCATGTATTTTTATATTCATTTATCCTCTTGGTAGTACTGTCTTTGTGATGCCCCTCCACCTTTTTTTTTTTTTTTCCCCCTTATTTGATGTTTCCTTCAAAATGTAAACATTCACTAGAACAATACCTAATGAAGTTCAGTAACAGAAAACTTTTTCATTCATGAAAAAGGACCTTTTTGTTTAGAATAGTTTCAACAAATGCAAACCAGATGTTTAGTCTTTTCCATTTTTAAAATACAATCATAAACAGAAAATGTAACATTAGAGTATGACAGCAGATTTCTCAGACAGCAGATTTGTAACTATCCCATGACTTTACCTCTGGCATTTGACAGGCTAGTAGGAAGACTTATTATTTGTTTTGTATTGGTGCTCTTTATATGCCAAAAGATAAGGGTACGCTGCCTGATTTTTTTTCAAACATTGCTTTAGTTATTAAAAAAAACTTTTTAGTAACTGCAGAATTTCATCTTTTAGCAAGTAGCCAATAACTGAAGTTCTCCTGAAAGGTATAAGGGGAAGAAGTGTTTCCTACATAGGAAAAGATTATATGTATATTTTTTCAAGGTGTACACAGGAATTTATGTAAATGTCTTGCTCCTTGCATCAGGTTTCTATCTGTGTAAGTGCAAATCCTTTATTAGGGTGTTTAACTGCTGGATGCCACGTTGAGGACTGTATTTATAATTTGCTTTGTATAAACCATTTGTAATAAAAGATTTTTTTTTTCGAGTACACACGATTGTGCTTGGTCGTCCCCCGGCCCCGCCCCCTTCGCCCCGGCCCCGCCCCCTTCGCCCCGGCCCCGCCCCTTTCCTACATGACCACGCCCCATCGCCCTTGGCCCCTCCCCTCCCCGGCGGCGCCCGCCCCGCCGCCGTTTCCATGGTGCAAGATGGCGGCGGGCCGTGCCTGAGGCGCCATGGGGGCCGCCCTCCTCGGGGCGCTGCTGCTGCTGCTGGCGGCGGCGGCGGCTCCGTGCGCCGGGCAGCGGGCTCGGCGGCCCGGTGGGTGGCGGGGGGTCCCACGCAGCCTTCCCCTCCTGCTGCTCCCTGCATTCCCCGCGAGACCCGAACCCTCCTGTCCCTGGTCGCCTTTCTCACATGAGGGAGGTCCAGGAGCACCGGTGGAGGGGCAGGACCTTAGCCGCGGGGTGCGAGCCGAGGGCGTCGCGGGGACCTCACCCAGCTCGGTCACCGTGTGCACTAAGACTCTTTTTTTCTCCTTTTTTAGTCTTCCAGCCTTCCTTTATCCACATGTCCGGGCCCAGGGTCAATGCACTCTTTCTTGGAAATGCTTCAGGAGTCAATTTCTCGTTAGTTTTAAGCCCTATAGATGAAGAAACAGGTAAGAACACTTTCTCATATATATATATATATATATATATATATATTTCTAGATAGCGTATAAATAAACATATTTGATTTTTTTTTTCTCTCACAAATACTGCTAGAGGAACAGCAGAACATTAAATAGCAGCCTTTGTGGCAGGCTTTATTGGTTGCTGGATAGGAACCCCAGAGGATAGGGGCAGATGAAGCCCTCAGCCCTCCTGTGACCCAAGTGGGGCCGGGTGGGCAGAAGAATTTGCTGAAAGGAAGCCAGAAAGGGATTTTAACCTTCCTGCCCCTCCTTCCTTCTCTCCTCAGTGCCACTGAAACTTATTATTTTCTTTTGCCATAGGAAAAATGCACCATTCAAATTGCAGTGGAAGCAGAAGAGCTGGTGACTGGAATTTGAGTGTAAAGCCTGGCGGGGTATGTAAAATACAGGTTCTTCCTTAATATGGGAAGAATTGGACTCTTACATTGTTAAGATGCAATACTAATACTAATGCAATACTAGTGAAATGTCTGTGGATTAGCCACCCAGTTTGTGTTTTGCCTATGCCTCTTTCCTTTGAAATGTTCATTTTTGTATTAGGTAACAATATGTATTAAAACTGTAACTATTCCACGCCTAAATCTTTGAGGCTTTTATCAAGTCTCTAGTCATTCCAGTTATCAGCTGAGACACTAAATAACAATGGAAATTCACTTTTTAAATGTTATTCTTTAGTATTGTGCATTTGGTTTCTGAGTAACATGATCTTTGTGTGTGCCTTAAAAATCTGTTTATATAGATCATGTCCTCACTTTATTTGCTTATTTCAGGGCAGACCTTTTTCATTTCAATCTCAGCAAATATCCCCTTTTATATCTGCTGCATTTTAACATTGACACTTCATAGTGGCACTGAAACTTCTCTTTCAGAAACTTGTGTGGTATAAGCAAATGTAATTTAAAACAAACTGTCAAAGTTGCCAGGCTTTATCTGATGTTTTCCAGGATATTTCCAAAGTGACCATAAGCCTGACTAGAAACCTGCAATTGTGTTTGCCCAATGCCACTGACTGCTGCACAAGTCCTCTCTGCGTGGTTGAAACTCTTCAGGTTTTAGCTTGCCGTGGTTCTGTGATGTTGGCACATCTCCTGATTCAAGCTGAAATCTATGCAAACTCCTCTGTTACAGGAAACGTGTCAGGTAAGTAGCTGAATGTGTTAAAGGAAAGAAAGTGTATACTAGCTGTTTTTTTCCCCTCTACATATGAGAAGTTAAAAATTGGGATTTGGGCAGCAAATATGAAGGCTGAGTAGTTAGTAAGAGAATTTAACAAAAATCATGTACACAGTGGGAATAAGCTATAATGCACATGATCACAGTTTGATTTTTTTGTTCTTTTTTTTTTTTTTTTTAATATTTTATAGAAAATGCAACTATCATCCCTAACCAGGCATTTCAGCCCTTAGGCTCTTGTCCTTGTGATTTGACAGCTGGAGCTTGTGATGTTCGTTGTTGCTGTGATCAGGTACTAATTTCATATTAGACTTCGAGGAATTATTTTTCCCTCCTTATTATTGGGAGAAAGATAAGAGGAGGAGGAAGAAGTAAGAGAGGTACCAAATGTTTCACACATATAGAGCAGTTGACTGAGTTTTTCAGTTTTCCTGTTAAGAATTACTATCTTTCTCTATAGAATTGCTTTGATTACTTGTAGCTGTGGCTTTTGTGATTATGTTAATGCAATAACTGTGTTAAAAGTTACCCTTTTTTTCCATTTTAGGAATGTACGTCAGACTTGAAGGAATTATTTACCGGATCATGTTTCCCTGGAGTGTTTGGTGGGGATGTAAACCCACCTTTTGATCAATTGTGCTCTTCTAAGACAATGGAATATACTCCTGATTGGTTTCCTTTCCTTTGTGTGCAGTCTTCTCTTGACAATACACCATTTCTTGGTTACTTTTATCATGGTTTTATGTAAGTCTTGTAAAAAAAATTACATGTGGTAGTAATGCTAATGACTATTGCTTATTCTTATAATGAGTTATTTTGAAAACAAGTTTTAAGATATGAAGTTAAATGTATGTGGGGTGATACTGAATGAGAAAAGGCTTGAAATTTATAATTTGTGTGATGTAGAGAGTGAATTATTGTTTTCTTCTTAAACTTCAGTTCTACACCCAGAGATGCTTCATTTAAGATCCCATTGCAAATGCCTCTTGGGAGACTTTTTACTGGTTACAGAGAAGGAGATCCAATTATGACAGAGGAAAATGACTATTTTACCATCCCCCAGGTAATCATTTCATGTTTAGGAGCATTTGGTTCCTCATAGTTTATTGTGTGTTCTTCGCATATCGTACTCTTTACATTCTTGTAACCAATTTTGCAGCTTGCCAATCAGAACTGGTAGAATAGATTTTTCATTTTGCAAAAAATCATTATCAAAAGTGAATTCTTTCCTTCCTTATCCACCCGCCCCTCCCCAAAAGGTAGGAGTTGTAATTATTTCAATAGATTAAAGCAAGCTTGGCACCCCAATTAGTAGTTTATGGTCTCCTGTGTTATTTTTAGTTCACTTGCTGCATTACTGAGTGCTGCACTCTGCTTTCTCTTTTACCCTTCATCCTTGGGCTGTGTTCTTTCAGTTTCCTTTTGCATTTTAAAAAGAGTCATTAGTTACAGTTAGTTGGACAAATGACCCTGAAGCCATACTGTATGCTGCATTTCTTTTGAAAGCTGTGTGTGAAAGCACAGCTTTCAAAATCTGAATTTCTCTTTTACTGCAGAAGAAAGCTGGATATAATAGATTGCTCCTTTTGTTAGTGTCAGATATGGCTGTAGTATATACACTGAGCATTTCCCTGACAAATAGTATTAAAGTGAAACGCAGAAAGCTGGGAAAAGATCCCTCATATTTATTCCTGTTGAACTACCTGCAGCAATCCATGGCTGGGCAGTGTGTCGGGAATGCCCCTGTCGCCTTCCTGCGGGACTTCGATGTGAGGTGTCTTACCCACGTAGCATCTTACCGGGAAGGGCTGCCGCATGATGTGAGGGTGAACAGTGGCACTGGAGGTACGTTGCATAAACCTGGGCAGAAGAGTGTCAGTGTTTCTCAGAGCTGATAGAAAAGAAACAAAAAAAGAAGGCTGGTGATGTGGCAGTTGCATAATATCTCTCTGATGGCAGTAGTTCGCATTTGGTAATGCTCTAGTCTGGATTTCAAGAGCCCCTTTGAAGTCTCCAGGATTTAGTTCCTAAGAAACAGTGGGATAGGTGACAGAATAGAGCATCCCTTTCCCCATTTTCAAGTTGTTGCAGTGCTCTTTTTCAGTCAAGAGCATGCAAGATCATCATTTTAGATTTAGTGAGAGTTTTAGTGAGAAGTTGTTATTTTTTGCATTACAAAAATCAAATACTTGAAGAGTGTGATTTCTGTGTTTGAGATAATGTAGTTACCAGCATGAAAAGTGCCTGTTTAAATTGGCTAATTTTGTTCATCTGTATCTGGAAGACACGGCTATAATTACAGAATAACTAACTATACTTTCATAATGTACTATTTTCAAATCCATTTTCCTATCAACAGTGTATGTGGAAATAACATGTGTCGGTCTCTTTTGTTAGCTGGGGTTACCGCTACGTTTGTGTTTTGTTCTCAGACTTCATCCAACAGAATGTGATCTATGGGACCATCACTGACATAGACAAGTTCATTACTAAGAGCGGTATGTGTCTTCCATTTGACATGTGTTCTTGTCCACCCTGAAAAATATAAGAAATAGATTATTTTGATGCCTAAGATGTTACCAGCTGTAATTCTTTGGAGGGATCTCATGCGTTATCAGAACCTCAGAGAGTAAATTGCTTGGCCTATTGAGAAGCAAAAGTTTTTAATTCAACCCACCTTCTATTCAAGTTGATTTAAAAAATCAGGTCCCTTGCATTGCATTGAAAGGTTTTTTTTCTTCAGAAGAACATATAAACAATAATATTGATGGCAACAATAAAATTATCGATGGGCAGACCATGTGTAAGCAGGGGAGGTTTTGCTGCAGAATGATTGTGCTAGAGGCTTGAACTATATCCAGAATTTTGTTAGATAAAACTCCTTCTCAATTTTGATAATGTAGTTTTCTAAATAAACATATATATATATGTGTATGTATTTATTTATTTATTGTGGCCTTTTCATTTTTCCCTGTCAGAAAGCCCTCCTACCACTGAAGTTCCATGTAAAAATGTGACCTTTGCAGAACATTATGAGTTCATTTGGGAAGGCAAGAACATAAAGGAAATAAATGTCACCATCTTCCAAGGAAATTTATGTGATGGAGGTATCATGACACTTCCACAGATTTTTGATTTACTTCTGTTTTTCTTCAGCTTGGAAATTTTGTGATAGTGTA